GTGTTCATCCATAGCTGGCATGCCTCGGCAGAGAAAGGTCCACTTACTCTGTAGGCCATGGGTGTACGCGGCATACGCAGCTTGAGGCTGAGAGTGGGCATAGTCACTCAGCCGTTGGACCTGTGCGACCCACTCCTCAACCTTCTGCTGCACGTGCTGCGTGGCGAACGCGGATGACCCGATGGCTGCACCAAGGTAGCGGCATCCATCTGCCTGGATGGAAACACCAGTACCAGCGAAAATCCGGATGGCCTCGTCGAGGAGTGGGGGCTTGACCACTAGGACAGACTTAGCTGGATTTGGGAAGTAGCCATATTTGGGGCCCTTCTCCGTCAGCTGATCCCACCACACTCGGACGCTCTTCAGCTTGCCACCAGATCCGGCATCATCTGCATACCATGCCTGTACGGCTCCTTCTGTTGCAACAGCTTTCATAAGTGGGATGATGCCAATGGCATACATCGCCATGGCGACGGGGTCGCCCTGTTTGGTACCCTCACATGACAAGATCTTCTCGCCGCCGACGAAGAGGCTAGCGGGCTTTCGGTAGGTGTTGATCACGAGTTTGGCGAGTGATGGGCATAGGTGCTGGATGTTACGGAGGCACACTTCGCGATTTAGGCAGTTAAACGCGTTGGTGGCGTCAGCCAGAAGAATGGCTTCAGTGGAAGGGTCATCAAATACGTCGCACATCGCATGGATTGCCGCCTCTATGCCGCTATCTTGCCCCGCACATAGCTGGAGACTGCCAGCAGCTTCCATGATTTCGGGGCGGATCACCTCGAGGATGGCCTTCCCCACTATGCGCCGCAAGACTTCCCCGATGCCTATTGGCCTGACTCCAGGGCATTTGTCGAGTGGAATCAGCCTGCATGCAGTGTAGGCGTCTAGTGACGCCGGGTCCACGTACGTAGTAGCGAGACGACGAGCACACTTGGCCATAGCGTCACAGAGTTGGTCCGATGTATCGGCAAAGGATGTGCACATGTGCCGCCAAGAGGCAGCATCCACCCCGGAGGGACCGGCAGCTCCTTGGGTGTGCAGGGCGGCCTTGCGTAGTACGTCTCGGTTGAGTGACTCAAAGCGTACAGGGTGGGGAGGCACGGGTGCCTGGCCCTGAAGCAATGCTTCCGCATGAGGAGGCTGCGCCTCCGGGTGCTTGGCCTTGAGGAGATCCCGAACGGTGCTTCCATTGATGGAGTCATCCAGGTCCAGCACTCCTCCACGACCACCATCTGCCAGCATGTGGGTGGCGGACCTCAGTTTCCCATTGGTCACGAGGTTTGCAAAGTCTCTGGCTTCATCGGCCCTGCTTTTCGGGGATGACGCGTGTGCTCGCAGGAGGTGCTGGATAGTGCGGCATTCGTAGAGCAGCTCGTCAAGCTCACCACGATTCCAGAGGTCAAGGCGCGCCTGGAGACGCTTAGAGAATGACTGTGACGAGGATGCATGGGGTTGTTGTAGGAGCAGTTGCTGGAATACCAAAGCAATTTTGATTGCGGGCTGCGTCCCACCCGCCTGTGTGGATTCACAGGAAGTGTGAGTTACGAAGTCTGAGGAAAATAATGAACGGTCTCTGCTGGGATGACGACTACACCATAGATCAGTGGTTAGAGCATCGCTGGCTACAAGCGAGGGTCCCTGGTTCGAGTCCTGGTGGTGACAGTTAATATTATTTTTTCTCCAGACTTTTCCCGTTTGTCTCATTCCCTCAAAACCAGTTAATATTTTAAGACTTGGGGCTCCCCGCGTGCTAGTTTGTACGTGAAGTGTGTGGGTACAGTGAGGGTTGCGTCCCACCCGCCTGTGTGGATTCACAGGAAGTGTGAGTTACGAAGTCTGAGGAAAATGTTGAACCGTCTCCGCTGGGATGACGACTACAATATAGCTCAGTGGTTAGAGCATCGCTGGCTACAAGCGAGGGTCCCTGGTTCGAGCCCTGGTGGTGACAGTCAATTTTTTCTCCAGACTTTTCCCGTTTGTCTCATTCCCTCAAAACCAGTTAATAATAATAATAATAATAATAATAATAATGATCAGTCGGGGAAGTGAACTGCCTGAAAAGAGAAAAAAACGCCAGACCCACCATGACTCGAACCTGGGACCCTGCTTGTCATGAGCAATGCTCTAACCACTGAGTTATGGGACCAGGCTGAACCTAGAAGGCGCTGACAAGTTTTTCACTCCAAAGGCAGCTCACAACACGTGCCACACATACTGATGGCACTTGGGTCTTTTTCCCTCCCCCAGGAGACCAACCACGGTCAGTTTCTGGAAACTACCAGAGGTGAAAGAAAGTGATTAAATTTGGAAAGGATTGGGAGAACTTCAAATTCAAATGATCAGTCGGGGAAGTGAACTGCCTGAAAAGAGAAAAAAACGCCAGACCCACCAGGACTCGAACCTGGGACCCTGCTTGTCATGAGCAATGCTCTAACCACTGAGCTATGGGACCAGGCTGAACCTAGAAGGCGCTGACAAGTTTTTCACTCCAAAGGCAGCTCACAACACGTGCCACACATACTGCCACACATACAGTATGTGTGGCACGTGTTGTGAGCTGCCTTTGGAGTGAAAAACTTGTCAGCGCCTTCTAGGTTCAGCCTGGTCCCATAGCTCAGTGGTTAGAGCATTGCTCATGACAAGCAGGGTCCCAGGTTCGAGTCCTGGTGGGTCTGGCGTTTTTTTCTCTTTTCAGGCTGTTCACTTCCCCGACTGATCCTTTGAATTTGAAGTTCTCCCAATCCTTTCCAAATTTGATCACTTTCTTTCACCTCTGGTAGTTTCCAGAAACTGACCGTGGTTGGTCCCCTGGGGGAGGGAAAAAAGACCCAAGTGCCATCAGTATGTGTGGCACGTGTTGTGAGCTGCCTTTGGAGTGAAAAACTTGTCAGCGCCTTCTGGGTTCAGCCTGGTCCCATAGCTCAGTGGTTAGAGCATTGCTCATGACAAGCAGGGTTCCAGGTTCGAGTCCTGGTGGGTCTGGCGTTTTTTTCTCTTTTCAGGCTGTTCACTTCCCCGACTGATCCTTTGAATTTGAAGTTCTCCCAATCCTTTCCAAATTTGATCACTTTCTTTCACCTCTGGTAGTTTCCAGAAACTGACCGTGGTTGGTCCCCTGGGGGAGGGAAAAAGACCCAAGTGCCATCAGTATGTGTGGCACGTGTTGTGAGCTGCCTTTGGAGTGAAAAACTTGTCAGCGCCTTCTGGGTTCAGCCTGGTCCCATAGCTCAGTGGTTAGAGCATTGCTCATGACAAGCAGGGTTCCAGGTTCGAGTCCTGGTGGGTCTGGCGTTTTTTTCTCTTTTCAGGCAGTTCACTTCCCCGACTGATCATTTGAATTTGAAGTTCTCCCAATCCTTTCCAAATAATAATAATAATAATAATATTAACTGGTTTTTGAGGGAAAGAGACAAACGGGAAAAGTCTGAAGAAAAATTGACTGCCACCACCAGGACTCGAACCAGGGACCCTCGCTTGTAGCCAGCGATGCTCTAACCACTGAGCTATGGTGTAGTCGTCATCCCAGCAGAGGCCGTTCAATAATAATAGCTCATAATAATAATAATAAATTTTGTATAATAGAGGTTAAGTTTGACAACACTCGTCTTGAAATGCTGCTTTCAACACTAAACATGCATGCATGGGAAAGAGTATCACGAGGGGAAAAGGTCTTCTAGCTTTTCATTCTGTGTGTGATTATTGTGAGGTTTTGTGTGAAATTTTAATTTTCGGCTATCACATTTCGTTAATTTCTTACTTTTTAGACGGGGTCGATGGATGCGGGCATGATGAGACGAGCGCGGAGACTGGACATGACGTACAAGCACACACCTCCGCCCCTCAAGTTCCAGTCGTTCCGATGTAAGCGATATCCTGGGATGTTCAACAGGGAATCTGATACTGAGCTGTCTAGCCAGGTTTCATTAATTGACATGATGTGAATTTTATTGGCATGCAGGATATGATGGATTTCATGAACTTTGTTTCGTAGACTGCAGATGTTTATATGAGCAACTTTGAGGACGGCGCGGTTGTCTGGCTGGGGGCTCCCTGATATGTCCTATTGGGCAGACAGCAGATCCTGGATGGCATTGTCAGAAAGAGGTGTCTCTTTGTCATCCAATATGACGTCATAAGGCAGAGAGCACTTGACCTTTTTGGCTCGAAGTTGTTTAAACTTTGGTAGTACGTACTGCCTTCCGCTTATCCGCATATGCCTAGTAAGGTCACTGTTTCCGAACACAGTGTTCTCCACCTTGTTTCATGCTGTCAAACCAACAACAGGCAAGAGATACGGTCCAAGTGTAGTCTTGAAAACATGTTCTCCTTGACTCGAGTGCAGGTAGTTGCTTTTACAATGAGCACGTAACGCTGGGTGTTATAATGTGCTTTTGGTTTACGTGCTGTGAGTGCGGCCTTGTGTTCAGGGACTACCGGCGTACCGGTCTATGTGTAGAGCCTGAGGGCACCTAAGTCCTTGCTTGTTGTGCAGTTATGGTAGACTAGCACAACTGCAAACCACGACAGTACTAATACTTGAGAACGGTTTTATTCACAACACCAATCGCGTGAAACCATGGAGTGAGAGTCAAACTCAAAGCAAAAAGACTACGTGAGTTTCCATGTGAACGTCAGCATACTAAGTACTCGATTTCGACCCTCCGCATTGTAATTGGCGCTCCTCGCGTCACGGTCCGTCATGACGTCATGTTGCTAATGGTCACTAGCACTGTCCAGTCACTCCAGTGTGTACCCGGTAGTCAGTATGACAATGATCATACTCAGAGGTGCCGCTGGTTCACATGCTGATGTATTATGTACGACTACTACTAAGAAATAAGAACCCAAAGTGGGCCACACACACCCGCGCGCGCATACACACGCACGCACGCACACACACGGAGCGGAGTTGGTAACTGCTTGTCATGCGCTGAAACTGAAAGGCCATCATTATCATTGATCTTGTCAGGGCACATAATCATTGCAGAGAGCGAATTTCGTAGAGAAAGAAGAAAAAGTATCGCTCGTCTCTGCACTTCTATAATATTATTATTACTGTGGGCATCTCGAAACCTCTGATTGTCTTGCCACGCTAGTATAGCTAGGGAGGCATTGCGCTGTTCGGTTCAGTCTCTGCTTCAACCAAGCAACCGGGAAGAAGGACGGGTTGGAACCACTCCCCAGGCCAGGCAGTTTCCTCAAACGGCTGAAGGCAACTTCCATTCTTAGGTGAGCACGTCCCAGCTATACGATCATCAATGTGTACCCTATGTACATTCACACGTTGACTAGCCTATAGTTTTTGTTGTACACTACAGAGATGTTTATTGGTACAGAAAGTGAAAGATGTTGCGACATCGGCGGTGATTAGTGAAGAAAGTGTCTGCTCCGAACCTCGGAGGTCGCGCTTCCTGCCGCCTGACTTGACGCTTGACTGACTCCTGTCTGGAGCATACGAGAAGCCCGTCGAACCTTCCACTCGGCAGACCTGCAAGAAAGCACCACTGCCTGCTCAATACACAGTGTTTTTTTCTTGTTTTTTGTTTTTTTGTTTTTTTTGTGTGTCGGGGAATTAACCCCTCATCAGTTGAGCTTGAGTAGGCTAATGATTTTTTTACTCCGAGAGCACTGCATTATGTAGTGCTCTCCAAGCCAAATTCAAAACATCACTACAATGACATCACTACAATGACATCACTACAATGACATCACTACAATGACATCACTACAATGACATCACTACAATGACATCACTACAATGACATCACTACAATGACATCACTACAATGACATCACTACAATGACATCACTACAATGACATCACTACAATGACATCACTACAATGACATCACTACAATGACATCACTACAATGACATCACTACAATGACATCACTACAATGACATCACTACAATGACATCACTACAATGACATCACTACAATGACATCACTACAATGACATCACTACAATGACATCACTACAATGACATCACTAGACATACATTGCTTTCACTTACAGTGACGCTCCGCTTCTAGCACAACAAACACCTCGTGAGCACCAGGCAGCAGCAGCGTCGCACATGCAGTTGTAAGAACAGACGTTGAAGGTCATTTTGCCATTCGCAACGCTGTCACCTCCAACCATCTACATGTAATTGCATTCCCGCGCTAGGGACAACAGTAGGAAAGATGTTGCGACATCAGCGGTGATGTTCTTGCAACTCCATGTGCGACACTGACTCACGCTGCTGCCTGGTGCTCACGAGATGTTTGTTGCGCTGGAAGCGGAGTGTCACTGTAAGTTGGTATCCCTAGTGATGTTTTGACCCGTAGAGCACTACATAATGCAGTGCACTCGGAGCAGAAATTTCATCAGCCTACTCCAGCTCAACTGATGAGGGGTGAATTCTCCTAAACACTGTGCATTGAGAAGGGAGTGGTGCTTTCTTGCAGGTTTGCTGAGTGGAAGGTTCAGCGGGCGTCTCTTGTGCCCCAGACGCAGTCATGAGTCAGTCAAGTGTCAAGTCAGTTGTCAGGAAGTACAAGCTCCTACGTTCCCAGCAGACACTTTCTACAGAAAGCGAGTACTTGTGAACAGGTGGTTGTACCCACATGCACTTTGGTTTTTGGTACTTCAGTAGGAATTAGAGAGATCGGAGAACGCTGTGCATTTGGACTATAATAGGACGTGCCGATTTGACCGTCTTGTGGTACTAGCACCATCACAATCACAATACTTGCCGGGTTGGAAAGAGGGAATCATCACCATTCCGCAGTACATGGATGTGCGTCAGGGGGGCTCGTCGGCCCTTCATCGTCCAGCTTACATGCGGCGTGAGTTGGCGGTGGTGGAGGGTCAGATTTCCTTTCCGTGATTTGTGCTGCATCTTCGTAGTTTTATATTTTTTCATAATGAATCGCTGTGGAGTTCACCAATTGAGTAACATCAAGAGCAGTTGAGTTACGGTATATTGTTGAGAAGAAATTAGAGGCCTTGAATGTTTTTTTTCGAAATTGAAATATCTATTTGCCGTGTTGGAAGGAGGGAAATAAAAACTAATAAATAAAACATGAAAGGCTCTATATATGTTCACGTACAGTAGATACCCGAAGCCATTTGGCTGCAACTTGCATGCGCTGCTCCGATTGACCCATGGCTGAGTCCTGAGTGTTGTCGGTGGTGAGTACGAGTGGATAGCCTCCAATGCTAGAAACTACGTGTAGCCTCAGAGCGGGTCACGGACTAAGCAGCATTCTCTATGACTGCGGGTCAAGTGTCAATAATTATTGATTTACCCTCCCATATTGCGAAACCCTAGCTCCGTCGGTAGTTAGTCAGCTGTTGCGTCATCCTAGGGCTCGTCCATGTACATTGTAAGTACGCGTACATTTTAAGTACATGCACATGTAGCATGCGTGGGTTGAGCGGAGCTGCAACCAACTCGGCTTCCATGTATGATCACGTGATACATAAAGTCAGTCTATTTGTTCAGCACTAACAATTATTACACATTTCTCAAAGTACGAAGACTCCACTGTTATGTAGGGTCCAGCGGATTCTGCCGGCAGAAAAATTGGCAGAATTCGGTACTTCTTCTGGTAAGTTTCATGCATGTTTGGTACGTGAATAAATAAATGGAGCAGAATTCGAGGAATTGCCCGCCATAAGGTTTGTATGGTTCTGCCAATTTTTCTGCTTTTCGAGCAGAATCTGCCACCTTTTCCAGCAGAATCCGCCGGTCCCTACTCCACTGTAGCCATCCACTACACCTCCATACATCTTCACAACACTCTCAAAACGGTCTCTGGGCTACACCAATCACTAAAAGAGAACAGAGATAATCTGGCAGTTTCCTCTGAGACACGAGTGTGATAACACTCAGAAAGAGGACATAAACAATCGACGAGGAGACAATAGTCGTAAAATGGCAATAAATAAGATAAATTGTGCACTCATAACAACAGCAAAAATGAAGAAAGTCAAGTTCCATAACGTTTTCTTGTGACTGTCATCAGTGGAACGCCGTCACATAAAAATGTAATAACTAAAACACACACTTATATACATGTAGCTAATATGGTTTCAGGTAGAAATACAGCTTTTTGTACTTGTTAGCTGCTGTATTTCTACCTGAAACCATATTAGCTACATATTAGCTATATGTATATAAGTGTGTGTTTTAGTTATTACATTTTTATGTGACGGCGTTCCACTGATGACAGTCACAAGAAAACGTTATGGAACTTGACTTTCTTCATTTTTGCTGTTGTTATGAGTGCACAAAGAGGACATACTTTAGGCTATTTACGAACATCTTGGAAGTTTTCGGTTTGACAAGTACACTTTCAAGCCTCCTCATCACTCAGGTGACAATTTCAAACATTGCCCGCAACTATTTTACCTATACATCTTCACGACACTCTCCCAACGGTCTCTGGGCTACACAAACTACTGTGTACTGGGCAGGGAGTGGTGCTTTCGTGCAGGTTTCCTGAGTGGACGGTTCGATGGACATCTCGTGTGGTCTGGATGACAGTCGTGAGTCAGTCAAGTGAGAATTTCACGGTGAAATGTGAAATACAGGCAAAGGGAAAGGAACAGCACACATGTCACGCATGCTTGTTGGGTTTTCTCCCACTTGCACCTTTGCGTCATTATTGCTGTGTGTATAGGTCACGCCTTTTCGCTGCTTATTTCGGCTATTTTCTTCTTTGCGCTGTTTTATCACCTCCTTACGGTCCTTAATCCACTGTTCTTATATTTCACCTGATGAGAAGGCTTGAAAGTATGAGATACTCTGACATTCTAGTTTTCGGGTTGTTTTTTTTTCTTCCTGAAGAAAATTACATCTTTTTTCTTTTCGTGATTGATGTAGAATTGGGTGTTGCTCCCTACGTGTGAGCTCGCGCATTTCCTGCCGACTTGAATTCTCACTTGACTGACTCACGACTGCCATTCAGAGCACGCGAGAAGTCCATCGAACCGTCCACTCGGCAAACCTACAAGAAAGCACCACTCCCTGCTCAGCACACTGCTCAATAGTTGTCACGTTCGTCCTAGTCTCAGTATCATTGTCTTTCTTTATTATTTTCGAGCTGGGAATGTGAACATAGTAAAAATATTTTTTTTTAAACACACAGTGATTGGTGTAGCCCAGCGACCGTTGGGAGAGAGTCGTGAAGATGTATGGGTATAATAGTTGCGGGCAATGTTTCTAATCGCGATGAACAGGACAAGCTAAATCCGATGATTTCGTCACATTATACAGGCTCGATTGTATTTAGAAGAACGAACAAATCATGCAAGAGTTACCTAATGCTGTGCTGGACACAGAAGGAGGAAAAATATGATTTCAATGTGGCTGCCGACGTCTCTGTTGGGTCTGTACTTTGTGTTGAAATACACGTATGCCTTGACGTCATAGCTAGCTTTTGATCTTCTTGGTCCGGTAAATGTTAATGCTGTGCGGTTCGCTCTTCAATCCTGTTGACGTCGAAGAAGATGGCGGCATTGGGATTAGATGAGATTATTTCGTCTCTTCTTGTACAGTTGTCAAATGCGTTGGGGGGGGGGGGGGGTGGAGGCCGTGGCAACGACAGGACCGGCGGAACTGCCAGTGGGATTTCGTTGGCACAGTTCTGTGTGGGCTGAACTGCTGATCGGCTTGGTGACGAAGTGGCGGGCGTTGGGCCTGGCGAAGCCAACATGGGTGAGGCAGACAAGGATGATCTGGCCGATGGTCGAAAAGGAACGGGGCTTCTAAGAGAGGTCTTCCTTGTCTGCCTCTGGGCCTAGCTAATCGCGCTTCTGGTGGTGCCACGTACATGTGAATGTATGAGAATGTGTGTGTTTGAAACAACCCTTCTCATGATGTTACATATTTCTTCATATCAGGTTGTTGAATGCCAGTACCACATCAATGATTGTGCTAACTGTCGCATCTTCTGACTCCACAGTATTTTGCTTATAACTGTTAGTGTTGGACTAACTATGGATAGCATATACATGTAAACTGACGATCCCTTATTTATATTAAGGATGGGCAGGGGGAAGTGTGGATGTGTGTGTGTGTATATGTGTGTGTGTGTGTGTGTGTGTGTGTGTGTGTGTGTGTGTGTGTTTGTGGTGTGTGTGTGTGTGTGTGTGTGTGTTTGTGGTGTGTGTGTGTGTGTGTGTATGTGTGTTTGTGGTGTGTGTGTGTGTGTGTGTGTGTGTGTGTGTGTGTGTGTGTGTGTGTTTGTGGTGTGTGTGTGTGTGTGTGTGTGTGTGTGTGTGTGTGTGTGTGTGTGTGTGTGTGTCGACTGGCCTCCACTGACGTCACAGAGTCCCAGTTTGCTGATGATACGGCTCTCTACACCACCTCTTTGAGCCACCTGGAGACCATGAAAAACGAGTTTGTGTCCTGTGCTTCGGGTTGGGGTCTAACGGTGATCGTCCAGAAGACCAAGGCCATGGCGGTGAACTGCTCTGACCCGCCACCTTCCATTGATCTTCAGGATGGAGGAAGCGTGGAGGTTGTGGACAGCTTTACCTATCTTGGCAGTGTCCTGAGTGCAGACGGTGCTCTGGACAAGGAGCTCACCTCCCGCCTTGCCAAGGCCTCTTGTGCTTTTGGCGCTCTTCAAAAGACAATCTTCGGGTGTAGCGGCCTATCCATCAAGTCTAAGCGTCTTGTCTACAAGGCCATTGTCCTCCCTACCCTCTTCTATTGAGCAGAGACTTGGCCCATGAAGGCCCGGCAGATGAATCGCCTGAATCTGTTTCATCGCTCATGCGTCCGTTCCATCTTGGGAGTCTCAAGGAGCGATCAGCACTCCCGTCGTCCTTCTACTGCTGATCTAGCCCAGAGAACGCGTCTTCCTGAGGACATTGGCACTCTCCTGCGTGAGTACCGTCTGCGTTGGCTGGATCATGCTGCCCGTATGGACGCGGCCCGGATTCCTCAACAAGTGTTGTTCGGGGAGCTCGAGGCAACCAGACCACGGCATGGGCCAAACAAGCGTTGGCGAGACACGATTGTCGGTGATCTGCGCTCGCTGGATACTCCGGAGTCCGAGTGGTATCGGCTCGCACAAGATCGCCCGGAATGGCGCAGGCGGGTCCATCAACATCGTCTTCCTCCCCGATCCCCCCCCCCCCCCCGCACCGAAGGACCTTCACTGCGCATGCGGCAGAGCGTTTAGGAGAAGTGGCGATTTGAAGCGTCACATCAAGTACACGTACTGCCCAACTCAGTAGCCTATCATCTCCACTGGAGATGGGGCGTCAAAGGTCAAAGGTCAAAGGTGTGTGTGTGTGCAAGCGCGTAGCCAGAGTGGATACTTTGCAGTCAGGTATCCATACGTGGTTGGCCAGCACATGTCGACGTGCACTGAGTCTGTAGCTGTACTACTAGTATACTGCATGACAACATGTACACCAGTTCATGCACAAGTCTACAGGCACTGACTTCACGCGTGGAATCTACTGTTGACTAAGGAGAGTTCGCAGGGTCTATTGTACTGATGTAGCATTGTAGTATGTAGATCGACATAGTAATATTATTTTGTGAAGCTCGATGATAGGCTTGTACTTCTTTGAACCGCTGTTCAAATTCGCTGTGTGACCCCCTCTGCAACAGTGCTGCACAGCACCGATGCAATGCGGATTCACACCCACTTTTTGCACTAGCAAAACAGGAGTCGAAATCGAAGTCGGAAAGTCAAAGTCTTTTTTGTTTCGAACGCTTTCAGTTTGTTTCCATTTTCTTTTTATTCTTCGCCATTTTTCCAAGTTCTGTCAGTGTGTCAGTTACATGTGTGAAGCGATTTCACCAACCGAAAATTGGAGATTTGTTTTCAGCGACTTATTCCAAGCGTCATGATAGCGTTTGTTCAGACAACTCTTTCAAGGGCTGACGCTGTGTCGGTGCCCGATTCTGTCGACTCTGGCGGCGAATTCGCTTCAGGGCAGCTCGAAAGTGTGGACTCACCGAGAATCTCTGACTCTGAATATCAGTCTGGAACGTTGGGGGAGTTGTCATCACCCGAAGATGGTCCCGGTTGTCTTGTAGAAGTTGATTCTCCGGAACCTGCAGCGCGACATAAAGCCGGTACTCTTCTTCAGCAACTGGTTGACGATGCCGGCGTTTCGTGAAAGTTTGATGATCGGAAAAAGGGAGAAGTGCGAGGACAGTGACTGGTGCTCGTGGCTGAAGTTGCCAGTTTCCGCTATGTTCAAGGGAGATGTTTAAACTACTGCAGCACAATTTCCGACCACCTAGGAGGTTTGCCAGTCCATGCATACGGCATGGCTTCTTGGCGATGAAAATGCGTGGCCAGCACATAAGGCTCAGCTGCTACTGGCTGGAAACCTACTACGCCTGCCTGACAAGTTTGTGAGTGATGGGTTTTTGTTTCACATGCTACCATGAAAAAAACAGGTGAGGGATGCAGTATCAAATGGGCAGTCATAGATCAGTCTGAACCAGCATCATGTATTTGTTGCAAATGCTGCATACATACACCTGTACTTGACTCAATCCGCGAGTGGAACTGTTTCGTCCATTGTGGATTCGTACGCGTAGCACCGAGGCTGTATTTATATAAAAATTGAAACAGGTAAAAATAAAAATAGTACCATGAAAAAAACAGGTGAGGGATGCAGTATCAAATGGGCAGCCATAGATCCGGCCAAGTCCTACAGCAACATATCCAAAAGGTGCTGCTTGTGTTAAGCAGAAAGGTTACGCATCATCACCTTCAAGACACCTCACACACTGCTCAACAATAGGTCGGAGTTGGTATCAAAGTGCAGACACCAAACCAAGCTCTACCTCTCCACCTACTCTGCCGTGACATAGCCACCGCGTGCTACCACTATTACCGCCACATCCTCTGAATACCCGCGGCTGTTGAATGTGGACACCACAGTGTGCTTCCACCGCCACACATCACACCCCCTGTCCAGTGCCCCCATGGCTTACCCTTGTCCTGCCTGGTGGTTTCTCCGCCTCTGCACGCTCCATGCATAGTTCGCGCCTGCTGCGCATGCCCACCCAGTGATGTAATTCTTATCACTCGCTCTTCCCATGCATGCCCTACATTGATAACTCGCACCTCCTCTACATGCCCATGCGTATCCCCCACAATAAGAACAAGCTATCCCGCGACAAAAGCATTAGATGTCTGATGATTGCCTTAGCATTTAGCTACGTGCATGAAACACAGCGTTACAACGTATGTATAGATAATTGGTGGAACCATTCTTTTTGACCTTTGTAAAAATTGAAACAGTGTACAAAAATTTCCTGTCAATTACACGCTTCTGCATTGTATATTGCAACTGGCAGATATTTCGCCTAGCCTCTAGTGGAATGATATGTGCTTTCTGTATCAATGGCCTTAAATACATCTAGGCCAAAGATATCCAGTATCCACACAAATATTGCCCGAGCTATGCCACTGGTGTGGGTGTGTGTGTGTTTGTTTGTCTGTGTGTGAGTGTGTGTGTGTGTATATGTGTGTGTGTGTGGGGGGGGGGGGGTGTCGAGCAGCTCTGGAGAAAAATGGAGTGCTTACTTTACACTTTTTACAGTACTGGCCTAGGGTGTGCTGAACTCTTTTTAAAAACAATTCACTACTTAAATTAACTATCCTGCTACTGTTTTCTGATTGTCCACAAACTCCAATGCCTATTCTGCTACTGTGTTCATTCATAGATGGCAACCATGCGGACTGTCTGGTCACTATTAGCCTCCGTTATCCTGTATGCCATGCTGACATCCTCTGGCACGTCAGCGGAGAGCCCAGTAGTCAAATTTCTTCCAGGTAAAGTCCTACACAAATTTCGGTCAAGTTCAGATGTTGAATGGAATTCTCCAGGTCATTTCCTCGGACTTTCACTTGTCCCACATACTAACATGCAGGAAATCTCATTTGCTATCGAGCACAGGAAACAATTTCCGAACAGATTGTTATTTTTTCAGGATTGGAATGGGTTCATTCTCTGGTGTGTTTCTGTCACAGTGGGGACACATCATGTTCGCGGCGTTGGCCAGGTTTGCGCCCTGTGCCAGTTCACATCCCAGTGTTCAGAGGACTAGCAGTGAATAGGGGAAAAGGGCCCGACGTAGAATTGATTCGCTTGACCGCTTTCATTGCGCAGTCCCATTATGATAACTAACACAACACAGGTCAGGCTAAGAGACCTTCGGGTATCAGCAAGAGTATGACCCCCCCCCCCCCAAAGAGTGTGCAACTCCTGATACCCTTTCTATGGGGTACGCCGATGGCGAAAACTCACATCACGTGGTACAGTGTCGCAGTTGTATCTTTCAAGCCCTTTTTTAGCGAGTAGCGGAGAATAAAAAAAGAACTTTCTAACAAAAACTCACTGCGGGTATGCAAATCACCAGCATGATCATGGCAGATATTCGGCTTGCGCGCACGCTATCCTTTGTGTGTGCGTAGTATCTGAGACACGTGGCGTGAGTTTTCGCCGTCGGAGATGCACTTGCCGTAAAGTCTTGTATAAAAGCCACACTTGAATAGAAGCCGCCCTCGAATAGAAGCCGCAATTTCGGGCCCTTCAAATCACACATCAGCCTCGTTTTAGTCTTGACATACATAGAAATACTTGTCTTGTATAGAAGCCTGGCTCATATAGAAGCCTGCAAAATGACACCAATAAAGTCATAGAAATCACGGCTTTTATACAAGACTTTACGGTATAATATACTCTTGGTATCAGTTTGCTGAGTTTAGGACAGGGAGTAGTAGTTTTACTACTCACCATTATGATCACTGGTATGGTATGACATGGCATGGTATTGATTTATTTGAATTCGGTATCTCAACAGTACATTGTACAACTTGGGAAGATCCGAATGACATAGATACATAAACATAAAAGTGGAGTAGGTGCTACAGCGGATCATTTTATCGCAGGTTGTGGGACTAAACTAATACCAGTATGCAAGTACTGACACAGGACTTATCTGACTCTTTCTTAGCCTTAGGCCGTCATCACACTACGTTCTCCGACTCCCTATAGGCGATTCACACGACAGGCAAATCAACGTTTACAGGAAAATCACCATGAAGATATTCCTGCGGGTGACCAAAATTTGCCGGCGGGAATCAAAGGTGTCCATGGCCTTTTTGCCTGCGGATGCACTCATCTGCGGGTACTTTCACAGTTATGAGGCTGTGAGGTCATACTATCGGTCGGTAGTCTTGAACCCTGGTTGTTTCGCCTTTGTCTTTGGGTACTCATTCCAAATCACCACAGTAACGCCGTATACTCACCTGATACTCGCGGGAGCTCTGTCCGCCACCCGCGGCCGTGTGAACTGCAGCCTCACGTTTCACTTCCTGCAGGCACCTGACAAACGTGGATTTGCCTGTCGTGTGAATCGCCTATTGCGCCTCCGTCTATGGTGAAAAAACGAAAACGGGTGGTCGTGTCATCAGTCAGGCACAGTTCTTTACGCTTACACACAGTGACGTTTTTGGAGAAATTTGAGCGCACGTACATCGAAGTGCAGGGTCGCTCGGAAAAAGGCTGGGGGAGATACGCACGTTCATACAAATTGAAAAAGTCGTATACCCTACCCCCCCCCCCCCCTCTCTCCCTACCACGTCTACGTTTCCCGTTTCCTCTGCTCCCGTTTTCACTCCGTATACAGATTATCATGACAACCGACCAAAAACTCCTTATAGGGGATTCACACACACGGGTAAACCTGAGGTCACGGGACAAGGTAAAAGTTCAGACCTTCAGTCAACGGAGTGTGGCCGTTCACACCCGTGGTCAGTTTTGCCTTGACCGCATGTTTGGCCATGAACTTGTGGCGGGGCAACTAAAAAAATAATCTGTACTGCATTCTGTACTGTATCTTGCATTCGCCATGCGCGATTTTCTGATCGGCACTGTCTGAAAATGCAAGTTGCGATGCACTCGTACAACTAGGGTTCAGAGTTCTCGCCAAAGACAAGATCTTCGCATGCGCGTCTTATAGCCATGGGATTTTTCCCTTGACAAACGCTCTGAGGCCGACTGCCACGGCTTTGCCAATTTTTTCCCGAGAGGTTCTTCCTTTCCCCCAGTACCATAGTTTCCATAACAACTTTCCCATAACCGTGGTTTTACCCGTGTGTGTGAATCCCCTATTACGTGGACGTAGACGCAACACTTTGTACCGTGGTGTGATGACAGCCTAAGTTATAGGGGATTCACACACATGGGTAAAACCACGGTTATGGGAAAGTTGTTATGGAAACTATGGTACTGGGGGAAAGGAAGAACCTTTCGGGAAAAAATTGGCAAATCCGTGGCCGTGGGCCTCAGGGCGTTTGTCAAGGGAAAAATCTCATGGCTATAAGACGCGCATGCGTAGATATTGTCTTTGGCGAGAACTCTGAACCCTAGTTGTACCAAGAGTACATAACTGGGGTTATGTACTCTTTGTTGTACGAGTGCATTGCAACTTGCATTTTCAGACAGTGCCCATCGGAAAATCGTGCATGGCGAATGCAAGATACAGTACAGAATGTACTACAAAATGCAGTACAGATTATGATTATTTTTCAATTGCCCCGCCACAAGTTCATGGCCAAACATGCGGCCAAGGCAAAACTGACCCACTCCGTTGACCGAAGGTCTGAACTTTTGCCTTGTCCCGTGACCTCAGGTTTCCCCTTGAGTGTGAATCCCCTATTAATATTTTAATTAAAAAGGGTATCAGCTAACTGTGTTTAGGACTGGGAGTAGTGATTTTACTACTCTTTGTAATTTTACTACTCCGATGTAAAGATGGTACATGTACTCATAATTATGGACTATTCATCGTCACCCCAACAACAACAACGACAACAACAACAACAACAACAACAACAACAACAACAACAACAACAACAACAAATTACAAAAATAAATAAAAAATAATGGAAGTCGCGAATTTCATCAGCTCGAACGTCAGGTGTCTGTTCAACAAGATCGACGAGCTTAGCCACGTGGCAAAGTTGCAACAACCGTCAATAATCGCCATCCAGGAAACCTGGGCGGATCAGCGACGGGATGTACGCCATCAACGGCTACAAACTCATAAGAGCGGACCGGGACACCTTTGGTGGAGGAGTCGCCACATACATACCACACAGCTGCCAACACGAGACAATTACCATTCCCATGACTCAAGCGGAATGTATTTGGATTAGAATAACAATCGGCCAAGCCTCCCTTGTGGTAGGGAACATCTACCGTCCCCCGCGGTCCGACCCCGCAGAGTTCGTGATGGAACTGGAGAGAGCCATAAAGCTAGTTGAAAGACCCCAGGATGAGATACTTCTCCTTGGCGACTTCAACGCCAAGAACTGCTTGTGGCACCCCAGCGACACCACCGATGCCTTAGGTGAGGACCTGCATTGGCTGTGCGAGACTCGTGGCCTCACACAACACGTCTCCTTTGCCACCCACCTACGCCAACACACACCTACATCGTGCCTGGACCTGGCCATCTCTAGCCTCAGCCGCCATAACATCACCATCACAAGCCTGCCCCCTATGGGTGCCTCTGATCATGTTGTCATACAAGGCAACACACGACCCCAGCAGCACACCACCCACAGAAACAATAATACAAATAATGATAAAAATGAGAGCAGTACTACACAGCAAAGCACCTCCAGCACATACTGGTTGTGGAGCGAGGAACGCATTGCGTCCCTGCGTGAAGCTCTTGCTACCTGCAATCTGCAGTACGATCCACATCCCACTGACCCTCAGCCAGTAACCTCATTCTGGAACTTCTGGAGAGACCAGATACTGAAACTAGCCGTGCACCACTGCCAAGTGACCAGAAGCAAGTCCCGCAAAAATTCTACGCCCACTCGTCCCTGGATGACGAAGGATCTCCTCAGCCAGATCAAAACAAAGCACAAACAGTTCCGCACCTACAAGGCGACCCAACTAGACTCAGATTGGAAACTGTACACAGCCCAGCGTAACCGAGTAACCGCTCTTTTGCGACAGGCTAAGTCCGACTTTGTCCAGCAAACAACGTCAACGGGTACAAACCTCCACCGTCTACTGAAGCACCTGAAAAAACCGCCTAAGCAAACAATTCCCACACTATCGACAGCCAACTCCACTGCAGCCACGGCTACGGAGAAAGCAACAGCTCTCAACAAGTTCTTTATCTCCCAAAGCCAACAGTCCATCGACAAGACCACCTGTACTACACCAGACATCAACACTACCCCTCACATCAGTCATACTCTAAATACAATCGCAGCAACAGTGGAAGAGGTCGAGAAGCTTCTATGCAGTCTAGACACTGGCAAGAGCCCAGGCTTTGACAACATCCCAACTCGGCTCCTGAAAGAAACTGCAAAGGAAATCTCCCCATCTCTCACTAGTCTCTACAATCTGTCCTTCAGAACCGGAGAAATACCACAGGATTGGAAAGACGCAACTATTACACCCATCCCCAAGTCGGGCAACCCCTCCCATCCTACCAACTACCGACCCATCTCCCTGCTCAGTATAATATCAAAAACACAAGAAAAAATAGTCCACTCTCGTCTGTACAATCACATAGCACCGCACTTACCCTCCAACCAATCCGGCTTCAGGAAACAAGACGGGACCGAACTGCAACTCGCACGGATCGTCCACCAGATATCCACAGCTAGGGATGCGGGGAAGCATGTTGTAACGTGTTTCTTCGATCTCAGTAAAGCCTTTGATCGTGTATGGCATCAAGGCTTGCTGAAAAAGCTGAGCCACTATGGTGTCGACGGCAAGGCTCACAATTGGCTCGAAGCCTACTTGACAGGACGCAGACAGCGGGTGCAGGTTGAAGGCACAACATCCGCCTTCATACCAATACCAGCAGGAGTGCCCCAGGGCTCAGTCCTGGGACCACTTCTGTTCCTGGCGTACACCATTGACCTGCCCACTGCCTGTGAAAATGCTACAACCTCGTGTAGCCAGTTCGCGGACGACACCGCACTGATTGCCATTGCAGGCAGCTACATTGAGTGTGAGGCTGCGCTACAAAGAAGCGTCGATGCCGCAGCAGAATGGCTAGAGCACTGGCACCTGCTAGTCAATAAAACGAAAACCGTCATCCTCCCGTTCTACCATGCTAACCGACCCCCACCACGACTACCCGAAATAAAACTTGGCCAAACCCTATTAGAAACAGTAACACAACATCGTCACCTCGGCATCATCTTTCAGCCTGACCTAAGATGGTCAGCCCACCTTGACTTTGTGCTGAAGAAAGCCGTAAAATCTTTTAATATTCTCTTTAGACTCAAATCAACTCTACACACTAAATCACTCTCTCTCATTTACAAAACGTATATCCTGCCTATAATTGAATATGCATGCATTGCTGTCACCCCGCTCTCAATCGCAGCTCTTGACCGTCTTGAGCGAATCCAGCGCAAGGCGGCCAGAATCTGCCTCCGTCTCCCCCTTTACACTCCTCTGGATCATTCAACACTGCTCCATCGGCTCAAATGGCCGACAATGTTCTCTCGCCGCAAAGTGAAGCTCACCCTTCTTGCTCACTCCATAAAATACCAATATGCCCCACAACACATACGCTTGCTCAACACCCCCGCTCAAGTTACGGCCCAGTACAGCCTTCGACACGCACGCACTTGGCACCTCCCACCCTCCAGAACCGATCGCTGTAAAGACTCCCCACTGTACAAGTCCCTAGAATACTACAATGCCCTCCCTGCTAGCATTCGTGACATCTCCTCCCGACCTGCTTTCAAACAAGAAATCTGCTCACTGCTGATTAACTCAATCTGCTCCTGCAGCGCTCACCCTCTCCCATACTTGTAAATTTCAAAGTGATGTAAATCACTTTCCAACTGTTTAACCCACAATCTCACCTTCTCATCAATTTATCTCTTATTGGCGATGGTGCCATCGTGAGAATAAAGAATTCAAACAACAACAACAACAACAACAACAACAACAACAACAACAACAACAACAACAACAACAACAACAACAACAACAACAACAACAACAACAACAACAACAACAACAACAACAACAACAACAACAACAACAACAACAACAACAACAACAACAACAACAACAACAACAACAACAACAACAACAACAACAACAACAACAACAACAACAACAACAACAACAACAACAACAACAACAACAACAACAACAACAACAACAACAACAACAACAACAACAACAACAACAACAACAACAACAACAACAACAACAACAACAACAACAACAACAACAACAACAACAACAACAACAACAACAACAACAACAACAACAACAACAACAACAACAACAACAACAACAACAACAACAACAACAACAACAACAACAACAACAACAACAACAACAACAACAACAACAACAACAACAACAACAACAACAACAACAACAACAACAACAACAACAACAACAACAACAACAACAACAACAACAACAACAACAACAACAACAACATTGCTCAGCACATCTATAGCTCCATTGCGCCCAGCCTACGTGATAAACTCCCAATTAGTATTGCCATCGCTACTGCCTCAGCAAGCAGCTAAACTTTGATCTCTCTGTATCTGATCCCCGTGCCTGTAAATCTTTTTCTCTTATTGGCCACAGGCCATCGTGAGAATAAAAGAATTCAAACAACAACAACTACGACAACAACAACAACAACAACAACAACAACAACAACAACAGCAGCAGCAGCAGCAGCAGCAGCAGCAGCAGCAGCAGCAGCAGCAGCAGCAGCAGCAGCAGCAGCAGCAGCAGCAGCAGCAGCAGCAGCAGCAGCAGCAACAACAACAACAACAACAACAACAACAACAACAGTCTACGGGTCTTCATTGGACTCTTCTGCAGCAACAACCACAACAGCAAAAGCGACAGCAACAACAATGACGACAATGACGATAAAGACCAAGACGATGACGACGACAACCACAATCTTTCTGTGCTGTTTCCTTTCTTGCCATCTGCAGATATGGTAACAACGTGCAGCAGTACCACGGGGATCAAGTCTACCTGGTTATTTTCGGGCCGTTTAGCACATGGTGCTGTCTATGCTCAAAAAACATGTCGAGACATGGGATTTGATCTGCTAGACTATGCTTCCTTCAAGGACACCTCACTCGGCTTGACAGCATGCGTATCCACTGTGCTGAAAAGTGCGCTAAAGAGATACAAATATTATGAGCATCATCTGTCCTACTGGGCCATCAGTGGAGGGAAGGTTTCTCCCTATCGATTCTCCACGGCACATGGTGACGAGGGAGTTGAGCAAGCACCCGGTTTCGAGAGCTATGTGATGTGTTCTGGTAAGCTATTGTTAGGAACATGATGTCTTGCTGGGTTTCTACTTTGCTGCATTTCGTTTATGGCGGACCGTCATTTCTTTTTTTTAATCTACCCAAGTCTACCGTACCGTCAAGCGTCTACAATGGTGCTGTCTGGCTACGGTCAAAAACTTCTCATTCGGCACAGGAGTTCCCGCGTGCTTCAAGTGTGGCTCCCGTACGCACCTCGCGAAGGACTGCACGCGCGCAGCACAACAACTCTGTATCTGCCGGAAACTCCACGCTGTACTCTGGCATTTATCAGGCTGGTTTAACTTACTTTAAGGTCTAGTACAGGTCAGGTCGTGGACCCTGAGCATCAAGTACTGGTTCATGATAGTTCAACTGCTGACTCGGAGATGACTACAGATGGAGCTGCTGGACAGCCTGCAGTTCAGGGCAAAGTGCAAACCTGTCAAACCACTGACCTGCTTTCAGAGACACTGCAGCAGGAACGCAGTGAGACCAGGACGCCAATGCAGGAGGGCAACAGATTCTGCAGTGGCAGAGGGAAGGCACCTCATCAGTCACCTGACACTGACAAAGATGGATTTACCATGGCGTCAGGGAAGCATACATTCCCAGCAACTCCCTGGGCTGCCAAACTCGCCTATGCTTTCTCCACTGTAGCTGAAAGTGACGATGTTTCAGGTGCTGAAGATACTGATAATAGTGGAGCAAAGGTCACAATTAACGGAGTAACATTTGGGTGCTGACTTGACAAACAGTGCCATCTTTCGACAACCTCTGCTCCTCATGCCCTAGTTCCTCTAAATCCAAACGCTACACAATTCCAACCCACTTCTGCAAGAACAGCGCTTGCAACGTCGTCCCAGCAAAATACCTCTGGCCATGCACAAGACCCGGAGAATCAAATTATACCGTGCATTTGTGAAGCCATGCATAACCTATAACTGTGCTACCTGGGGCATGACGAAGGCCCTGGCGAGTGAGATTGACAGATGCCACAGATGCTAGCTCAGGAGTCTCATTGGCATAAGGTTCCCGAACAGGATATCGAACATCGACCTGCACCAGCGCTGTCGGGAAGAGCCGCTGTCAGCCACCATCGAGAAGGCACGTGTGCGGATGCTGGGACATGCACTACGACTGTCGCCGGACACCCCAGCGCAGCAAGCCATGAGTGGGTACTTCACTCCACAGCGACGTGGGTACAAGGGCCGGCCCAGATCGTCGCTGGTCGGCACCCTGAACCAAGACCTGCTCAGCAGAGGCAAGCCGGGCCTCTCGAGCCGAAGCCATCCGGACGACCTAAGACAGTTTGCTGCGGTTCGCAATGGATAGCGGCAGATAATCTGAAAGAGTCGCCACAACTGCCGGATATTGACATACATATATTGGACAGAGCCAGAGAACAGCAGTGGAAGAATGTATAGCACGGCTGTGCATGTTGTACGCGTATCTGTGTTATTATTATTATTATGCACAAGACGTAGTGATAGCTATCTTTATACATCAGCAGCTTAAGACACAAAGTTGCAGAGCTCGAACAGTTGGCAGAGGATTCTGGTGCCCTCCTAATTGCTGTGGCAGAGACTTGGTTGGACAGTTCCGTGACTGGTGGTGAAGTCACCATTCCAGGTGTATCCCCACTGCGGAAGGACAGAATCGGCAGGAAAGGTGGGGGTGTTGCCATAATAAATACCACCACGAATGTCTAACTGTGAGGGCGGGAGTTGACCTGCTGGTACCCGAGATGGAGCTTCTTTGCCTGGAGGTTCTCAGCAATGGCCTAACTACACTCTTTGAATGTGGCTATCGTCCTCCATCAGCTCCAGTACAATTTGGACAGATCTTGAAGATTTAGTAGAGCGAACAGCGGAAGGGCGTCAAACTTTAAAAAAAAAAAAACTCCACCATCTTGATGGGTGATTGCAATGTTGACTTTGCCCCACAGACTCTTCCGTTGCATCACACCTTCCAGCACATTCAACAATTATGTAATGTCTCCCACTAGAATTACTGCGACGTTCAGCAGAACTCTCGACTCACTGCTTTCCGAAGCAGATTTGCCAATAACCTGGACGATTGCTACTGTAGACACAAGTGATCACTTTGCCGTAGTAGCTAAACTCCCTATATACTTGACCTCACCTGCTAAGAGGAACAACATCACTGCCAGCTGCAGGAAGCTTCATCAGATTAATAATTATTGGCTCTGCTTTAAGGCAGATCTGTTGCACTATCTGAGTACATTTCTGTAAACTCTCCGAAGATCTTGACACCTCTGCTTCTGCCTGGCATAGCACCATCACTGCTGTTATTGACAAACATGCACCAGTTGTATCCAGAACAAGAAAGAAAAGATGTGCATGATGTCTTTTCTGCACCTACTTTCAGTTGACGGCTAATACAGGCCAAGCATCCCGGGATGATCACCGAATTACTCGAGGACAGGAACAGCAGCTACGGCAAGTGCCTTTTCTTCCTGGACCTTCCGGTCGTCAGTCATTGACATTTGTGGGAAGCACTCTTCGGAATGCCCTTCCCAGTGATATTCGCCTCCACAGCGCGGCTTTTACCTTTAAACTGGCTCTGAACAGAATTAATTGTAATTTGTAACCAGTGTTAATCACGCTCCTTCCTTGCCTACACATTACTGCATGTTTTCTCTGTGTGTTCTGCACTGCATGCTTACACATACACACACCCATGTGAATTATATACAATACTTTGTGCTTTGGAATTATCATGTTAGGATTCTTTTTAATATTTCCTTGTCTCATAATATTTATAATTATATTCGTTCTTAGCAGGAACCGGAGGTTTTACCTCTGGCGAGAAGGCAGAATTGCCTGTGCCCTTAACGAATTCAAATAAAAGAAACAAACACACAAACAAACAAACATGTCCATGGTTGACAGGTGAACTTGTTGGCATTATCCGTGAGCAAAATCATCTGCATCAGCGCTTGATCCGAGACCCAGGCAATGACGACATGAGACAGCATCACCGCATTGCTCGTGCACAAGCTCGCCGACTCGACAGACACCTCCAAAATGAATTCTTTGTCCGGAAACGTGCTACTTCAGATCAGCGCAAGCTGTGGCAAGTCATGAACACCATCACCGGTAGGCGTGCACCTAGACAGCAACCAAAGGTGTCAGTTGAGGAAGTAAGTGAATTCTTTGGGGACATTGTTCACGATGTAAGCAGGCCATCACAGTTAATGGTTCCCGAGGGCCCACATACGCCAGACGCCTTCATGTGTTTCCAGCCCGGCACTATTCGTGATGTCTGCAAGCTCCTAGAAAGTGTGAAACCCCATAAAGCGACAGATAGTGATGCAATCCCAGGTATTTTGCTGCGTGATTGTGCACATGAACTGGCACCTACATTGACTTTGATCTTCAACAGATCACTAGCCACTGGGTGTGTTCCATCAATACAAGCTTTCTCACATCAGTTCCCTTTTTAAAGGAGGCGATCCAACGGTCTGTGGTAAATATACACCAGTGTCCCTCTTGCCCATAGTTTCTCACGATTGCTGGAGAAAATCATCAAATAGCAACTTACGGCTTACCTTGATACCTGCCGAGCTATCTCTATTACACAATTTGTAATCTAAAACATCACTCAACTGAGGATGCTCTCACTATTGCTACTAATCGCTGGCTCAAGAACCGATCTGATCACAAAGTAACTGGCATTGCCCCCGTGGATATGTCAAAGGCATTTGACCGCGTACGCCATGATCAGTTATGGTCCGATCTGTATTCTGCTGGCCTATCTGGTAAAGCCTTGGAATGGTTCATGGACTACCTGTGTGGTTCTTATCAGCCAGTTTGTATCGGAGGCACATTGTCCAAACCAGTACCTTGTTTCTGAGGTGCTCCCAAGGGTACTCGTAGCGTGCTTGGTCCACTTCTCTTCATATTGTACCCTCGTCAACTCAGCGAAATCCTTCCTAGTAGCAGAGTTCACCAAGAGTTCGCTGATGACATTGTCCTGGAGGCCTCGAGTCACTAGCTGTATGCTCATCTCTGTGACTGGTGGACTCACTAGTGTTTCTGCCTGGTTGGGTGATCTAGGTCTACTTCTAAACACCACCAGGACACACGTTATGTTCATAAAACCCCGTGCTGTGGTCTGCAAGACATCCACCATCCAGTACAGTATGGTCAGGACGTTCTACAAGTTGTACACTGTGTGAAGTACTACCTTGGAGCTCACGTGGATGACAACATGTCTTGGGAGGTACATGTCGATCACCTCGCGCAGAAAGCCTGACCAGCAATTGGTAAGCTATGGCGGCATGGACATGGCTTGACAGTGAATGCCCGCCGCACTTGGCACATTGGCATGATTCAGTCCACACTCTGCTATGCTAGCAATGCATTCTACCCAGCTCTTTCCCAGCATGCACTTGGCCGTCTGGAGCGTGTGGCTAAGGCAGGGGTCTGGTCTATTTTGCTGGCACCAACTGCTACCCCTACCTCTCCTTTGCTTCCACAGACACGCATTCTTCCTCTTGTTCACATAAATTATAGGCTAAAACCATTCGTATACGTCCATCGCTGTATCCAGTCTGCTACATGTCCCCCTTTTGACAATTTCTTTATTCTAACTAATGCTGCATGCCCCTCTAACCGAAGCATAACCCATGGTCATTCCTCCAATCTCCTGCAAATACCCTTCCTCAGAAACCCTCATAGCCTATCGTCAAATTCAGTTTGTGGGAAGCGTATTGTGGAACAGTCCCTCGGCCGAACTTCGATCCATTGGAGAGAATAAGCGGTTGCGTGATGCACTGCGCTCTCGAAACCTCCTTATTGTCCAAGTTGCTTAAGCCGCTTTTGTACTGTGCCAAAGATCTGGATCTACCCCTGCTTCTTAATTTATACTACATTATCCTCTCCATTCTATCTCCCTTCCGTGCCTGTTTTTTCTCCCCTCCCCATTCTCGTTCTGCCCTCTCCTCTTCTAAGTCATCTCCTTGTGAGTAGGCACCATTGCCTGTTTTGTAAAACGACTATAAATAAAAGGACAACAACAACAACAACAACAGCAGCAGCAGCAGCAACAACAACAACAACAACTACCACACGACAACTGCGCTCTCCAGCCGATCTCAACACGACGGTGCCACAGCACACCACCAGCAAAGTGGTACATCCGCTGGCACTGAATTCCTTCGTACAGCTGCTTCGAGTATAAAACTCTCCTCAGTGAAGGCTGATACTGTAGAGTGTCAAGTGTGCGCTCGAAACGACGTGTCTGTGCCACAGCGTATTGCCCCGCATCTGAACGCCTTGATCCACAGAGCGTGATTGGAAGCAACGACCACTGGATAAGTAGCTCTGACTGACAGGCCGGCCAAAGTCCATAGGGAAATTTATCGGAAAGCAAAAAATTGATACCTGTACAATCGTAATGGTGAAAGAGAGTCTAACATAAAGCAAAAGGTAGTGGCAAAGGCCGAGAGATATGTGTAAGAGGATGATAACAATGATGGTGACGAGGACAGTGGTGGTCAGGGACCTAATGGAGGCGCAGGCATCGAGAAGAAGAACAGTCGGCAGTTAAAGTGGTGGTCAGGGACCTAATGGAGGCGCAGGCATTGAGAAGAAGAACAGTCGGCAGTTAAATCCCATCTGCTGTCTACCCAAGTGTGTCGTGACAGGTCCATGCTTCAGCGTTGTTCGTTCCGCAAGTAGTCTTTCAAGCAGTTGAAAGTTCCAGAAGCAGTCTACATTCGTATTCGTGTTCCCAATCTTTGTAAATAAAAAGAAAGAAAGTTTCACCGCATTTACACTCTTCCAGTAAATTCGTACTCACACACACACACCTGCATGTTATGCATATACATGTATATTGTTGCTGATTTTCCTATCATTTCTCTCCTGTAGAGTTTTTGTTACCAGCGCAATATATTTTCCGAAGTTGGTACTATTTTAAGTATTTTTGTTACTAGCTTTCTTCAAAAGTGTATAATCCTACTGTAGTTTCATCAATCACTTTAGACCCGAAATCCATCGACAATTGTGACAAGAAAACGTTCTGGAATCTTTAAAATTGTTGATTTGTCAGATTGTGATATGAGTGCGCACATGGTTTTATTCAAAAAAAGAGAGAACCAAAAGTTTACAAGTTGTCCGTTTTGTCCGACACTAACGATTATAAGTAGGAAACTGCTGAGTCAAAATGTGCAACAATTAGCCCGACTGATGTGATACTGACATTCAATGGATAACTTGTAAACTTTTGGTCCTCTTCTTTTTGAATTTTTATCCTTGGCCCTCTATCCGAGTGTCATACAGTAAAACCTGTCAAGGCGACCACCACTCGGATAAGGCGACCACCTGCCTCAGAAGACCACTGTAACCAGGACCAAGGGAGGCTATTTGCAGCCAAACGACCCTGGACAAGGAGACCACCTGGCAGCAGAGACCACACTTTGCAGGTCCCCTGAGCGGTCGTCTTAGACACATTTCACTATAGTTTTATTCATCGCCCGGCTCTATTACGCATAACTTGTGCCCCACCTCTTTCCATGGTTTCCGTTTACGACAAAAATCGAATAGTTGAGAGTGACATCGTGTTAACATACTATTCTTTCCTGGTCTTGTTTTCTCTGTCCAACAGTGGGTTGGAAATCTCGCCAGTACGGAATCTACACGTTTTCAACCCCTTACACTGGACTTGCTGTCACGTATCAGGCTGCAAAGCAATCATGCGCATTACGCGGCCTGCGCATGATGGCAGAGAATGACGCATACCCTCGGCAATGGGCGGCCATGTATTATCCAGTGTTCAAGGACCTCTACATGAATAGTAACTATTGGCTTATGGGTGGCAAAAGGTTTGTCGTCGGAAACTACAAAAGCCCAACATCGAAGGAAATAATCATGGAAATCTTCAGCGACCCTGGTTTGAAAAACGGAGTGCTGTGCGTACGTAAGTATAAATTTGTTGTTGTTGATTTTCATTTTACTTCACAAGGCCAAAAGGGCAGTGGTGTCTAATACCATGGAAGCGGATTTCAAAGTGGGAGAGAGCGAGCCAGCGAGTTGAGAGAGAGCAAGCCAGCGAGTTGAGAGAGAGCGAGCCAGTGAGGGGGAGGGGGAGGGGGGGAGAGAGAGAGAGAGAGAGAGAGAGAGAGAGAGAGAGAGAGAGAGAGAGAGAGAGAGAGAGGGAGAGAGAGAGAGATAGATAGATAGATAGATAGAGAGAGAGAGAGAGAGAGAGAGAGAGAGAGAGAGAGAGAGAGAGAGAGAGAGAGAGAGAGAGAGAGAGAGAGAGAGAGAGAGAGAGAGACAGAGAGAGAGAGAGAGAGAGAGAGAGAGAGAGAGAGAGAGAGAGAGAGAGAGAGAGAGAGAGAGAGAGAGAGAGAGAGAGAGAGAGAGAGAGAGAGAGAGAGAGAGAGAGAGAGAGAGAGAGAGAGAGAGAGAGAGAGAGAGAGAGAGAGAGAGAGAGAGATGGAGACAGAGAGAAGGGAGAAACATAACACATGATAAAAGCACAAACTTCAGCCACGCATTAATCATTGTTGTTTAAGGCTCCTCTTCTTTGCACTGTTTATCACCTTGTTTACTGAGCATTATTCATTGTTCTTGCTCTCATTTGATTTTGCCCGTGTATCACCTGAATAGAAGGCACAAACGCTTCTCGTGAAAACAAAGTTGTTGAAGAACCTTAAGTGTGTGCTGCTACTGAGTGTTATACAGTAGAACCTGTCAAGGCGACCACTCGGATAAGGCGACCACCTGTCCCAGAAGACCACAGTAACCAGGACCAAGGAATGCTATTTCCAGGCAAACGACCCTGGATAAGGAGACCACCTGGCAGCAGACACCACATTTTTGAAGGTCCCTTCAGCGGTCGCCTTAGCCACGTTTCACTGTCTCTTTTTTGTCTCCAAAGAGTGAGAGATAAGAATAATTATTATGCTGATATAATTACAGTGAAACGTGGCTAAGGCGACCGCTGAAGAGACCTTCAAAATGTGGTCTCTGCTGCCAGGTGGTCTCCTTATCCAGGGTCGTTTGCCTGGAAATAGCATTCCTTGGTCCTGGTTACTGTGGTCTTCTGGGACAGGTGGTCGCCTTATCCGAGTGGTCGCCTTGACATGTTTTACTGTAATTATATCAGCGTAATTATTAGGGATTATAGTGATTTTCTTGAAGGCTTTCAACATGAAGAAGTTTGATGCAAGAAACTTTAGAAGGCTCTAAGAGTACTTTGTCGAAAGTGTATACCAGTATTGAAAATCAGGTTTGTGTTCAAAACAGGCTTCTAACACTGTATATGACAGTCTGTACTACCAGACACTGAAGTGCAGGTACCGGTAGCTTTCCAGAGAGTCAAGAATCCGCCCGATCTGAAGTATGGCCTACGGAAGCTCCCTTTTTACATAGATATTTCACTTCATAGTCCATACCGTAAAACCGGAAGGTCTTATGACCAAAGGGTTTGACGACTAAAAGGTTTAACCTTTTGTAATTTTGTCGTCATAACGTGTAGAAAGTTTAACAATGTTTGTACAACGGAAAGAACATGCAATGATGTATGCGCATCTTTACGCAGACAACTCAAACCGGGTTCACGATAATGTTTCCTTCAAATAGCGGAAAAAATCGATCGTTAAAACGTTCGACTTTGTGACTCATTCGACTTTCCGTTCTTACAGTACACACTTTCTAGACCAGAGTTGGAAGATTGTTCACTAGGATACTTCAACATAAGCACTCAGAATGCACGGTATCTTTGCTGCATACGTCCTCAACGTTTCACCAAATTTTCCGCCATGGCTCAATATCAGGGTGGAAATTGTTTACGTCGAGGTAACCTGATAGAGAGGTTAAGATGGGTATCCTGATAGAGAGGTTAAGATGCACGTTATTTCTGACGTGACGCGAAAGTTCAGCTCTGGCTCCCGCATCGAAAAACAAAGCGAGTGACCTGCAGCTCGCATCGAAATTTGGAGTTTCAAGCCAAATCTGACGTGAAATTGCGCGTCACATCGGAAACAACGTGCATCTTAGCCTCTCTCATGTGTAAACTGCTTCAATGAAGTCTGTGAGTGAGTTGGTAGACTGTTGGTAAGCGCTTTTGCATTTGTTTTGAAGCTGCAACATAGGTGCCAGACTGGAGTTATGTCTGGGTACGAGTACGCGGTAGGTTTGTGTGCGTGTTGTAGCACTTTCTGACCAACTACTGAGGTATTGACTAGGTGCAGCGGCGCACAGTTCCTCTATTCGTAACCATGGGTCGCGCAAACGAAAAATGAATTTCCAACTCAGGCCCGCCGGAACCGGTTCCGTTGGTCAGGTTAACACCGCACCAACTTTGTCGCTACCAGCGCTGAGGAGGGACGTACATCCCCGTCATACTGCTTGAAGTATACACAAAGTATGAAAGACTACGGTAGGACCGGACCAATTGAAAACTGCTTCCGGCGGTGCTGTACGTGATCGAAATCACAGGGGGTATTCCCTGATCGATTTCCTTGCACTCTTGCTATATTAGCATTGTTTGATCCAGGGTGCAATCCTGGTCACATGCGTCCTCTGCCTTGTGATATGCTGTCAACTAATAACATGTACCTCCTTCCATCTGCCTGCAGAGGTTTGCTTTCAGGGGTTCCTCAGAGACGATAGGTGCGTCTGCAAAGGCTCGTATGCAGGGGACGGATGCAGGAAGTTGATGAGTAGAAGTAAGCGTGAGGCTTGTTTTCATATTCCTTGCTGGCCTGCCGTGAGCTGTTTGGTGCTTTGCGTTCTGCCAAGAGTAAATTTTGCTCTCTTGTGTAATAATTATTACGATAGTGTCAAGTGTGAACAATCGAGAGCAAAACAAGAAGTTCTTGTGCTGCAATCAGCACTAGTATGTCTAACAGTTACATGTACACAGGCATGCATGCACGAGCAGTATAGTAGCGACGTCTTGCGACGTCATCGTAACACTAGCACACCTGAAGTGCTTTCCATAGGGTCCGCCGGCGGCTAAAACTCACATCACGCAGTGTAGCAGGGGCGTTGGAAGGTAATCTATTGTGGTACGGTCAGCCATCTGAAGTCCAATTTACTCGTGGGCGAGGGGTGGCTGAGCCGCAAATTTTGGAATTTTAGAGCCCAAACCAGTGCATTTTATTGACTCACGCGGTACCTTGGTCAAATAGTGGTACGGTCAATACCGTAGCGACCGTACCGTGTGCGACGCCTCTTTGTATTGTTCCCTATGCATGTTCCCCAGCCCGCTTTCCAGCGACCAATGGAGTCCAAACGAAAAAGCAACTCAGGAAGACACCACACTCAGCACTATGAAATTAGACAGAACGCGTTCAAGGGACAACCTGGGCCAGAGGTCAAGCACCCCATTGCTGGATACTTTCCTGCACATGCTTCAGGCTTCAGTCCTCGGTGGCGTCTGTGCAAGATAACGCTACCCCTACAGTCCATTTCAAAACTATAGACGCGTACCTAGGCAAAAACCGTTACGCCAGCATCTATACCACATAAAATCTGTGATCACTTTGTGCATATTTTTTTCCAAATTGGGCGTCTGTTATCCAATCGTTTAGAAAGTATATGAGAGTAATTGTGGAGCGGACCTGAGCAATATTCCGAAAACTATTTTCAAAACGTTCCAGCCGAATTTGAAATATTTCAAAAACACTACGCGTCTATAGTTTTGAAATGGACCGTAGGTACATGAAGAAACTGAAACGCAACATATTACTGAAGTAGTAAAAAAAAAAAAAAAAAAAAAAAAATAAGCCATGACTGTCACGTGCTCACGTCTGCCATGTAAACAGTATCACTACACATGTGCGTCTGGAGGATCAAGTCGGAGCAGACGTTCGAGCAGAATCTTGGTGTTACTGGAGGAGAACGAAGAACAGAAAGAAAAGCAGAAAAGGACATTTTCCCAAAGAGACTCTTATGCGCTGACCCCTACTGAGGAAGAGCCTCAATCTCATCAAAACAGCGTTATTACTTAGAGCAGGTGCACTACGCTATCGTCACACTGTTTTTGTCGAGATATTCCAGTCTGAGAACTCTAAAACATTATGATGGCATCAATGTGTGTGTGTGTGTGTGTGTGTGTGTGTGTGTGTGTGTGTGTGTGTGTGTGTGTGTGTGTGTGTGTGTGTGTGTGTGTGTGTGTGTGTGTGTTGCTATGTCTAACATAGCTGTTCGCTATCATTGCTTCCGCGATGGGCAGGTCTGATGTCTGAGGTGTGTGCGCGCGCGCGTGTGTGTGTATGAGTGTTGGTGTGCACGCGTGTTTTCAATTGACATGTGTATGTATGGAGCCGAGACGCTTGTGTTTGGGTGCGTGGGTGCATGAGTTTGTGTGTGTGTATGTGTGTGTATGTGTGCGCGCGTGTGTGTGTGTGTATGTGTGTGTGTGTGTGTGTGTGTGTGTGTGTGTGTGTGTGTGTGCGTGTGTGTGTATCCCATATGGTGCAGTGGTATGTGCAGCGATTTCCAATCGATAGGTTGCGGGTTCGATTCCCGACGATTATGGTCACACACGTCTTTCTTCTCGTTCTCAGACTCTTCCTTACTTTTCTTTCATTGTCCTGGGTGGTTACCAACAGCCAGTGTATGCCGGAGTATGTGGTGTGGTGTGTGTGTAGAAAAAGAAAAGAAAAGAAAAAAAGCAAAAATGGAATAATGAAAAATAGGGATTCACTGGCCAGAAAAAGTCACTTCAACAGCTGTGTGGTGGATACCAGGCTAAAAATAGTGGCGGTCAATTCATCAGCCTTGCAAGCTGTTGAATGGTGTAATCCCAGCACAAGTTGCTATGTCTAACATAGCTGTTCGCTATCATCGCTCCCTCGATGGGCATGTCTAAGGTCTAAGGTGTGCGTGTGTGGGTGTGCGTGTGTGGGTGTGCATGTGCGCGCGCACGTGTGTGTGTGTGCTTTGCGCACATTTACTATGTGTACGTGTGTGTTTTTTACTTCGTTTCTTTTCCCCATACGATTGGCAGGTGAAATCTCGAACTGTCCCACCAATTCTGGACTGTCCACATGGTTTCTGAACGGGAACGCTCCAAATGGTTATCCTTGGGCAGAACCTTGGTCATTTCTCACCGCAAAAAGAAGGTGCGTTGAGAGAGGGTTTCATGTGATGAACTTCACGGCGCTGACGACCGGGACACCGCAGCAGCAGCAATGCAGAAACAGGCCTTTCGCCAGGTATTTAGGTCTCGTCCGGAAATACGCGCGAGAGGGGATCATCCACAGGTATGGGTATTGGTCGTCACCGGGCAAGTACTACTCGAACGGTCAGAATCCTCTGTGGATAGCGAATGATACGTCGTTGCATCAGCCGAGATATTATGCCGCCTGCTGGGGTGAGAAAATGTCAAACTTGTAATCGTTCTGTTTGCTTTTGGTATAATAATTATTTTAGCTCCTTGCCTCAACATTACAAGGCGCAACTTCAAAGAGCTTCGAACGGGAAACAAAATCCCTGCGAGTCATCACTAGGAGCGAGAGAGACAAATTCTCTGGTTTACCCCAAAACAAGCCACGCACAGAGAATCCCTTTATCAAGAGAACTTTCAACACAGCGTGTGCCGCTTCTGACCTTTCGGCGTGGGTATTCTTCACGGCCAACTTCCTCAATTGCATCATAGTGGATGCATACATGTAGTGTAGCAGGCCTGCTTGAATCATGCTAGTACGCACTGCACAGCTAGAACTGTGTTATCCAAGATTTGTGCCGTGACAGCAGCCCACTGGGGACCGGCGGATTCTGCTCGAAAAGGTGGCAGATTCTGCTCGAAAAGCAATGAAATTGGCAGAACCATACAAGCCTTATGGCGGGCAATTCTTCGAATTCTGCTCCATTTCTGTATCCACATACCAAACATGCATGATTGCCAAATGAGCGTCCCAATCGGAAAAGGTGGCCTGCGGGCCGTTGCGCAGAGTTGAGAATGTGTAGTTGAGAGGTTGAATGTACGGTGTTGTCAAGGGATTTCCCCTCTCCACCCACACTCCCAAAAGGACACCTGCATGTACAGTAAGACCTGGTTTAAGCGACCACCCCACGATGCAAGGAAAAGTGGTTGTTAAAGCCAGGTGGTCTTTAGAACCAGGTCTCACAGTGTCTGTGTAGAACTGTCCGTGCATGGAAAAACGGTCGTTAAGAGCTACTCCCTGGTTTTCACTTCCGGTATATTACTACTCCCTGGTTTTCACTGCCGATATATTACTACTCCCTGGTTTTCACTGCCGATATATTACTACTCCCTGGTTTTAACTACCGGTATATTACTACTCCCTGGTTTTCACTGCCGATATATTACTACTCCCTGGTTTTCACTACCAGTATATTACTACTCCCTGGTTTTCACTGCCGATATATTACTACTCCCTGGTTTTCCCTACCGGCATATTACTACTCCCTGGTTTTCACTACCGGTATATTACAACTCCCTGGTTTTCACTGCCGGTATATTACTACTCCCTGGTTTTCACTACCGGTATATTACTAGTCCCTGGTTTTCCAAACCAAAGCATATTGCCTCTGTACTCCCTGGTTTTCTTAATGCAATGAATATAACTAAATGCGCACTCATATCACAACCATGGGGACGAATAATGTATTCCAGAACGTTTTCTTGTCTCAATTATCAATGGAATTCGTGACTAAAGAGAATGATGAAACTACAATAGGATTTATACACTTGGAGTGGAACAGCGAGGATACAAGCATAGTAAGAAAAATAGCACAAACCTAGGAACAATTTGCACAGGTAATAAAAAAATATAGGTGAGGTGAGAAATGATAGGAAATTCAGCAAGTGCAGTGTGACAATGGACATGCATGTGCAAGTGTGTGTGAGTGCGAAATTACTGGAATAGCGTAAGTGCGGTGACATTTTCTTTTTGTTTACAAAGATTTGGATCGCGAATGCGAATGTAGACAGCTTCTAGAACTTTCGATTGCTTGAAACTACTTGCAGAACGAACAACACTGAACCAAGAATCATCATAACTTTCACGACACACGGGGTTAGACAACAAGTGCAATTTATTTGCCGATGTATTCTTCTTCTTCTCACCGCCTCCGCCTTCACTGGGTCTCTGACCGCCACAGCCCTTCACACCATCTGCACCATCATCGTCATCATCGTCATCGTCCTCTTCACCATCGCTGCCACCTTCACCTGTTGTCGGCTCTCCCAGTAACTGACCACCGGGTTCATCATCGTCACTGCACACGTCGCTTCCACACTCCTCCTCCAGCTGCCGTCGCGTTCACTTCCTGACCGGTTTTCCCTTGCCATTGCCAAACACCTGACAGTCGTCAACTCTTCCGCTAGCATCATACATATCCGGAGAGTTTCGATGCATCTTTCCAGTCACCTCTGCAAACCGAGCTGCCGCCAGCCATTTGCTCCTTCTCAGCTTTGGCGAGTTGCGTTTGTCTGCGTCCGGCGTACCGGTACTCACTGATGATGCAGATAAGACACAGTGTTCATCTTCGTTTACATTAATGTTTATTTCCGATTTCTGCGTGCTGTGTTGGTTTTTGCGAGACACCGTTTGTGGAGCAGAAGCCTCTGCCGGAACGGACAGTGGAGTCGGGTGCTTACGTGGTCGACCACGCTTTGGTCGGGAGGACCTAGCCGCCTGTGACAATAGTGAGAGCGGCACGTGTTGTTTGATACGTTCGGACATACCGACTACCACATTGTATCCTCGCTGTTTCACTTCAAGTGTATAAATCCTATTGTAGTTTCATGATTCTCTTTAGTCACGAATTCCATTGATAATTGTGACAAGAAACCGTTCTGGAATACATTATTCGTCCCCATGGTTGTGATATGAGTGCGCATTTAGATATATTCATTGCATTATTAAGATAATTGTCTCCACGTCCCTGGTTTTCACTCCAGCATAATCTCAACTGTGCCCCTGGTGCTGTGTTGTTGCTTATAACCCTTTTCTACATGTAGGAAGGTGGCTCACAAGAACAACCGCCTCTCCTCAAGCGCCTGGCTCGTTCTCCCTGGCCAGACTGTACGCCACGACCGTGCAAAGCTACAGGTTTGCAAGCGAAGCCTGCGACCTCATCGGGCACGAGCAATTGTCTGCACACCAGCTGTACGCGGCGTTCACGTACAACGCGGCTCTCAAGGCAGATCTGAAATTTCTCATGATCCCAGGTTTACATTACATTCTGGCTGAAGGACAGCTGTTGGCCACGCGTTATGGTGATGCCATCTACTTCAGTTACACTGAGAGACTTGGATCCTCTTTTGGGGTCTTGTGTGGACGTAAGTGGTTCGAGTTTTGTATTTTAGTATTCTATTATTTTTACTTGCGCATTTATAGCAGACCCTAAGCTCTTCTTATACGGTGCGCACTTTGTATGTGCGTGTATGTGTTGGACATCCTGGTGAAATGAATTGGGGATTTGATTAGTAAGAGAGTATTCAGATGTTGCATGGCTTCGATACCGGTATGATGATGTTTGTGTTAGTGGAACGCAGCCCTGTGTAACAGAAAGTAAATTTAAAATAATTGTATGGAAAAGTAAAAAGGACCAAGGAACTACAAGTTACGCTATAATGTCCACTAACACCACCAGTTACCGGGTACTAAACAATCAGCTCATGCGATAACATTTTCACAACACTGACGGACGGTACTGATGTTCTACAACTAACTGGTTAACAGCTCTGGCACAAATTGAATGCGCACTCCAACAGCCTTCCAACCTGGAAGGTTCTAGGTGATGTGATAACATAGGAGGGGAAATCCAGTTAGTTTGTAAAACATTAGTACTGTCAGTCAGTGTCGTGCAATATTATTTCATGAGCTGACTGTTTGGCAACTGGTGGTGTTAGTGGACATTTGTATAGCATAACTTGTAGTTCCTTCGTCCTTTTTTCTTTTCCATACATGGATCCTTCGCTCTCCATCCGAGTCCATGAATAAATAATATAAATTTTAAACTGTGTCTGCTCCAGAGCCGGGTCAGCGACCCGGTTAGGGGGTATTTGGACCCATTTGGAAAAAAAGAACACCGGGTCGCTTGTGACCTGGTTGGAAATACATTATACATGACGTACAGTCACAAAATATGTATGTCTTCATGGGGCACGTCATGTGACTGTGCATGTACATGCAGTAGCCGTACTTAACCGG